AAAACGTTTATTAACGAGCTGCAGTTTTATTACATCACGCGCTGGCACAGATGCAGTATATTAACGTCACGGGTCATCAATAAGGTGCAGATTGGTCCTCAATTTGTGTTTCCAACACACTTTTTCACAGCGCGCATCACTCGCTCAAACTCATCAAAAGTCAACAAGTTCCACAAGCAACAACGACTTATCCAAGTGACTGCTGCAGAACGCACGCATAAGTGAGTGGGAATTTACCGAACGTGGCACTTGCGGGAGTTAACACTGTATGCAATACCCGCAACCTCACACCAGATTTCAGGCCGTGTAGATAGGCAAGCATATATACAAATCATTTAGTAAGCAGAAATCCGAAATTTACCTCAACATATTAAGTTAGAGGAAGTTGCGACTGAATTTATGCTTGAAGAATGCGCTTCCAGCAGCCGTGATAAACAGTTGGCGGTTAAAGTTTTCTATGCACAATTTGATTTGACGAAAGTCACGAGACCTACTACTCTCTATCCAGTCACGTTGATTGATAAAAATAAAAAAAGCATGTAACGACCACAAACGGAGGAAAATAGCGGAGTAAAAGTACAGATACATCACTTAAAATGTACTCAAGTAAAAGTACACTTTTTAAACTACTCAAAGTACAATTACTGATAAAAACTAATTATTGTAACGTGAGTATTTGTAATTCGTTACTTCACACCCCTGCTTGAGGGTGAGTAAATCATGTGGTAATTTTCATTTTTGGGTGAGCTATCACTTTAAGCCATTTACCTTGCTGCCTGCAGCCACAGTGATTTCAGATTGTACTATACTTCTGGGGGGAAAAAAATTTGATCCCCACAATGAAGGCAAAAAACTTGATTTGTTGTTTTCTTTTCATAGCTATCATGGTCTTGTTGCTCATTTAAGCTGTAACCGAATGAAGCTTAAGTTGTAAATCCAGTGCTTTATTTTAAACATTTACCTTAGATTGCTTAAAGTAGTAGTCCTGTATAATACTATTAAAATATACTATAGGAATGGGGAGTACATTGTAGATAAGGAATAGCTAGTAACCAACTGTGCTTGAATGCTTAATGTGTGTTGTTATTGCCTGTCTTATAATGTGACCACAGCTGGTGTCTTTGAATGAAGCAGCGATAGACAGATCATTTGGCAAAATCACCAAACCATTCTTATGCTGTGAATCAAATGCAGATTTTGTGATCAGGTTTCCAAGCAACATGGATCTCAAAATGAAAGCTATTGCACTGGGAGCCTGCATACTTATTGTAAGTATTGTTAAACCTAAACAATTTTTAAGAGTTGTAATTTAAGACGTTTATAATTTTCAATTATAACTATTTATTTATTATTATTAATTATAGTAACTCAATTCATTTTCAGGACTCCATGTATTACTATTGGGAAGTAGTATAGGGCTGTGCCACATCCACCAACTTCAGCAAACAATGAATAGGGAAAGAAATTGTTTCAATATTCTATGAAATATATATTTTTATGAAAATCTTGTCAAATACTGTATTACTCCCATTATTACACTTTTTTCATTACATGTTGCCCCAAAAACACAATATGCAAATTAGATTTAGTTTATACATTGTATATAATGAGAAAACCTGTTTATGGCCATTTTACACACATTTTGCAGAAAGAAAAATGGTATATCAAATCATTCTGTTATAACATAGTTGAGAATCCTCTTTATACAAAGTTTAATAAAAAAAAAAAACCTGAAAACTAAAAATGTATTGGTGATT